CCCCCCACTTAAATCATGTTCACATGTATACTAAATACATTTGCACACATCTTGTGTCCATATCTTTCTGTTTTGGTGGTCATGCCACACCGTGCACATGCATGCATGCGCGGAGTCATGGTAAGATATCTGGATTAAGAGGTTGCTTTTTCTTTGCACAGCATGAAAAAAGGCCAAATGAATTGGCTGTGATTTTAGTTTTTTTAAGCAGAGGTTGAGTTCAATAATTTGTACGGCCCTCGGAGGATGTTGTAAAAATTGAAAGGAAAAAGGTTCCCCACCCCTGCTGTAAATAATAATAAAAACCCTTGATTTATAACTTAACATCTCTGTCTCCTATTGATCTGAGTATATTATAAAGAATAGCCAGTTAATTGAAGCATTATAGCACAGGCCTTTGTCAGATGGTATATTACGCTGTTTTTTTCCTGCTTCGAATAGTTCTCTTTTTTTTCACCATACCTGTGTTTGCATCACTGTTAAAAATGAATTAATCATGATTAATCACCATTCGAAATATGTCCAAAATATGCCATTTCTTTATGTATATTGTTGTGGGAATGGAAAGATAAATGAAAGAAGGCGGATATATCCATTTAACATACAGTATGTATGTTTATTATAACATTGTTCTGTGTGTCAAAATGAAAGACAGCCCACACACCTATCAATCATCAAACCGTGGGGTCTTATTTCATTACGTGTTGATTTCTATCAACACGTAATGTTGTATCGATGTATATAGAGATGCACTACCGCAAAAGTATTATCCGTCAGGACTTCCTGCAACAACACCTCGCCGTTATCTTGATTCTGATTGGCCAGAAGACATTATCAAATATGTTCTATTGAGAAGACGATCACTACGTGACAAAAGTTTTCAAAACCGTTTCTAGTCTTCGGTATTTCCCTTTATATATACAGTCTATGGTATTTCCAGACAAGTGGCTACTGAAATCAATCTTACTAACTGCTGTCTGTGCAATTTACTTGGCGTGAGTTGGCGGACTTTATTTAGCTTACTTTAACATCATTTTTCATGGTGGGGCTAAGCCATTTCTTGGTATGGCTGTAGCCTACCCTAGCGTTGCCACTGGTGGGATGTATGGGGCGGGCCATTCTGCACATGCGTTAAATGCGTTAAATATTTTTAACGCAATTAATTCAAAACATTAATTACCGCCGTTAACGCGATAATTTTGACAGCATTAATAATAACACAAATCATGTGTTAAGTTTTCTGTGATAGAGTTGTTTATTATATATTTATTTGAATGGACTACACACATTACTTTTAAGATCCTGCTTATAAACTGCTTATTTTGAGCCAGTCAACATTTTATAAAAAATTTCTATATTAGAAGTACTAAATAGGAACAAAAAATAAAACGAACGGTCAAAAGCAGTAAAATAAATGTTGTTTTTTTCCTTTCCTTTTTTCTTCAGACTCTCTCCAGATGTCTGTCACAGATGTGCGGCTTCAGCCTGCTGCCAGTTTGAACGTCAGTGTGTGCTGGGAGGAAGCAGGAGAAGCCACGTCAGAGCAAGCTGAACACCGTCCAAATATGAACACTCATTCAGGCGGCTCTCCTTCCAGAGAAAACGATAATGAGATAGAGGTGGATATTGCAGACGATGATGTGACGCAGGAGTGTGACCCGAACATGCCGTTAAAGGTCCTCGTCGTGAATAAATCATTCAAATGTCCAGTTTGCATAAGCACTTTTTCTTCCAAGAAGACGATGGTACGTCACTTAAAAAAACATCCACGCGACGGTTCATCACTGTACCAGTGTCAGATCTGTGAGCAAAACTTCTGCCACAAGTCTGAATTCTTCGCTCACAGTAGAACACACCAAGGCCCCAAACCATACCAGTGCCAAGAGTGTGAGGAAAGTTTTGACGAGAGGGATAGTCTGCTTGTCCACAGCCTGAAACACACTAAGGAACAACAAAATGAGTGTCTCAGTGAGAAGGAGGAGGCAGAAACTCACCTCAGATCAGTGACAGCTGCTGGTGAGATTAGAGAGCTGAACTGCACTCAGGAAATACCTGGCATTAAGACTTTCCCACTTACCTTCTCTCCCTATGATCAGAGAGAGTTTGATCAGGAGTCTCTGCAGCCCCTGTGTCTCTACCAAGTCCAGAGTCTGTGTGATATGGAAGAAGACTCCTCGGCTGCAGGAACAGTCAATCACATCAAAACTGAGCCGGCTGATGGAGTATCAGACTGCATCAATGATGATCAGTTGCTCCTTTCAGTGAACCAGAGCCAACAGGGAGAAGATGAGCCCAAACATCTCAACAATAGAGATATTCAGCCAAGTGGAACTTCAGGGAAATCCACAGAACTCATAGTTCAGTTTGAAGAAGGAACAGCAGAGAAACCCTACAAGTGTCCGTGTTGTGCCAAATGTTTCTCCTTGCATAAGACTTTAATAAGACATGTGAGGATCCACACGGAGGACAAACAGTACCATTGCCAGTTTTGTGGGAGGAACTTCGGTCAGAAGTCAGACCTGGTCAATCACACCAGGATACACACAGGAGAGAGACCATACAAATGCCCAGAATGTGACAAATCTTTCACCCAGAAAGGAAACCTGGTGATTCACATGAGGAAACACACAGGGGATAAACCTTATCAGTGCCTGGAGTGCAGCTGTAGCTTCAGTCAGAGGGCGTCTCTGGACTACCACATGCAGAGCCACACACACTCTACAGCTCGGACCTGAGGATGGCCATTCAAAATAAACTCTTTTTTTGGCAGTGAGTGTATATTCACTTTGCATTTCATAACATTTAACAGACACTTTTATCTAAATGACTTACATACATTTCAATACTGTAGACATGCCTACAGAAGCAATTTGGGGTTAAGTATCTTGCCCAAGGACATTTCTTCGATCAAACCATTGACCCTCTGATTGCTGGACAACCAGCCTGTGGTTTTATAAAAAAATGACGAAAACTCGTTTTTTTCTGTCATGTGCGCTAACAGCCACTATGGGACGTCTCTAGGATTTCTTTCACAAAACAGCATATTAAGCAAGCAGGATATTTTGTATGACACTTTTCATTTGCAACTGGGGATTTCAATAAAACTTCCTTTGGGATCCTGCTCATGTGTCGGTGGAAGCAAATCAGAAGAAAGATGTCTTGGCCAAACAATCAAATCAGAAAGTCTGAACGGTAACTTCCTACCAAAGGAATTATCTGACCTGGGCCGACCCTTTTAAAGAGGCTTTGACTTTATTGAGGCCTTAACTTTGCACTCATGATGCGGACACTGAAGTATTGCTACTATCGACGTGTGCATAGACTACTGGCACTAGTTTCTTTGTTTAGGCCTTGATTTGTACATGTTTCTCAGACTCAAAAGTATTTGCTGGTTTGCTATGCGTCTATATGTTTAACAGTATTAACAATTATTTGAACCTTAGTCCGATGGAGGTTCAAGTTCAAAACACCTGCTGTTTGTTTGTCTGCATGATTGAAGGAAGTTCTCTCTTTCAGGTTAATCTTCAAGTCAGCTGTTCCTGATATTAAATGAAATAGCAGTTTATTTATGGTCAGGTTATGGGATTGCCCTGTGTTGAAACTGTTTTAATGTTCCCACAGTCATAAACTAATGGTTAATCTGAACATTTTGCCACTTTTTCATTTAATTAAAGTTCTTGTCCTGTTGCTTTTGTTCGAAAACACAAAACTCATGATCTGTATAGGAAATATATTTCTAACAAACCAAACCAGTGTTTTTGACATTATGGGTGCTGTTACGTGTAAAGTATGGTTCTCGACACCACTGTAAATAGTTAATGTCAGTGTTCCTGAAAGGTTTTTAATGTGATGAGTTGGTTCCCAGTTAAACATGTTTTCAGAAAAATAAAGTCAGTGTTAATTTTGAAATGTTGTTTCAATAAAAAAATCTTGGCATTAATAGTTTACGTTTTGTATTACAAGCTGCTTTAACCTATTATCTATTCTCTTATATTCTCTGTTTTATATTGCTATGAAAACATCTTCAAACAACAGTACCATTGACGGATCAATACGTCTGTTACGCCCCTGTAACGGGTGTGGATGAAGGATAGAGAGAGAGATAGAGGCTGTGCTCTGGAAGCAGATACATTAGCTGCATGTGTGTGTTGTATTTTATGCACTTTTTGTTCTCCCCAAACCTCCTCGTCGCTTCTGTAAAGAATCCAGTCCTTATTAACTGGGGGAAATATGTGGTGTCCTCTAGACACAGCTTAATGCGCCTTTTAGGCCTTCAATGCGTCAGAAAGGCAGGAGGCGTGCCTGTCAACATCACTGACGTCATCTTATTATTTTCTGCAGACCTGAATTCAGTTGTTGTCCACGGATTTCTGACAGTGAATTAAAAATAGCTGAGCAGTGCAACAATTGGGTGAGAAAAGTGATCTAAGCAAAGATTAAGATAAAGAAGCAGCACCTTGTGAAAGGCCTTTGGACCTTTGTGCAGAAGCATGTGTTTGTGTAGGGAAAGAATGGAGAGGAGACGTATAGTTTTGTTGCAGCCTTTATTTTGATTTTACAAATCCCTGTCAAGTCTTAGAAATGTATATTGTGTTCACAGGTATGTATTTTTTATAATGTTTAAAAACTGTGTATGTTTTTTTAATTATTAAATTGTATGAGAAATGTGTTTCTACTTTAAATATCAAGATGACAGTTTGAAACTAAGCTTATGCCTAGTGTGTGTACTAGCTAGTGATACAGACTTTTCAGTTGTCATTCTTCAGAGTTTAATTCAAAGTCAAAGATGCTTGATGTTTTGGCATGTAGTAAATCGTTCACATTATATTAATAGAAAGTCAGAATATAACCTATATGATCTTATTGCCATAACCTTTTATCCACGTAAAGGCAAAATATTGCTCCTTTTATAAGGCCATAAGGGTTTATGAGCATGCCTGATGTATATAGTAATTTACCAAATGGCTATAATACCAAAAAATCCCAATTGATTTTGGACCTGAGAAAATCCAGACATTAAAATGTGCAGAAAGTGGGAAGGTCTTTGAGCTTTCATATGTACTGTTTCTTTATTAATGTGTGAACATTGACATGGACTGGAGTACAGTCTGATGATTTATTAGCAGATCAGGTAAGGGTGAGTGTGTGAGTTTTCTTGATAGATTTGTTTTTGGGTTACTATACTGTCGGACGAAAATCTCAGACTAGGCTAGTTGAAAAAGTCTGGACCTCCTTCTCAACATTATAACTTATTAACTTTCTTTGTGATAATGCAATTCTAATGTGTTCTGAAGAAATCACTGGAGGCAGACAGAGTTTGGTGCAATATAACTTTTATTACGTCAAAAGACATAATAGACAGGGTACATGTTCACAAAATCAGAACCCCGAAGGCATTTCGTGTTTATTTATGCTATACAACAGTTATAGGGTATTAAGGGGTGCTGAATCCAAATCTGCTGTATATAAAGCAAAACAATGTCCCAAAATGCCTCAAAATTGAGAAATCCAACATGCCACCGCCAGCCTGAAATCTATTTTAAGTATATCTTTTTGACTAAACAAAGTACAAACTTGAATTAAATGTGCTTTTGTAAGTTCTCCTACATGGGCAATCTGATGCCATATTCAGATTTGAGATGTAATGTGAATAAACTGCTAAGATCTCATATATATTGCAAAAATAGTAGTTTTTAACTATGAATAATTACTCAGCTATTATTATTATTATCAGGCTACTTTTACTTACTTTGTATATTGTTTTGAGGTTAAATGTTTAAAATGTGCTGTGATGGAACCTTTGCCTTCCCCACTATTGTCAAGCGAATGCTTCATATCTCCAAATCAATGTAACAACAGCATGTCATTCTGACAGTGGGCGAGGCACTTTATCCGAAGTTGGTAGAACTGAAGTGGTCAGTAGAAGAATACAGGGACGTGCTTATCCCTTGCCTCAGAGGCCTTCACATAGTCATGAACTTCCTGGGTGTGATAGGACAACACATGGTTGATTCTGGCCTGAGTGAGCTATGGGTCAAGTGTGATCAGTTGGGAGCAAATGCTGCTCAGCATGTCCTGGCACAAACTTACCCTACAGGCTCTTTGGCATCTACTGCTCCCACGGCTTTACACATATCTGGATGAGGTTGATGTTACACTGAGAGCTAAACTCCCAGAACTCTGCCAATCCGTAGATGCTGACCACATCGCGCAGATGGTCTCAATGCGCGTGCGCGGAAGTTGTGTGTGAATTCTGAGAGCGTGTAGCTCCCGTAGCAAACTTTTTGAGAAATCAGGTTATGATCAGATGAGCAAGTTGATCACTCAAAGTTTATAGCGAAATATGATGTGGGGAATGTAATGCCACCGAAGAAATCAAACAAAAAGGCTAAAGTGCCATTGAATGAGAGCAGCGGTCTTTCGGGAGTGAGTGACACACAAGCAGCAGAGGAGAACGCCATGGAGAGCAAGGCCTCGCAGTTGAACCACTCGGAGCTGTCGGTACTAATACGCTCCATAATAAGAGAGGAGATTTGGGCTGCTTTCGAGAAATTCCAGCCGCAGCTTGATGCTTTA